AGGGATGTATGGAAATTTTGCCATTAAGTAAATGATGTATTCTTTTTGCAGGTTGTAAAGAAGAAAGTTCCACTCTTTCTGTCAAAATGAAGTGCGATTTTAATTGTGACCATGTTCATTCTGGACTTAAACTGGTAAAACCTGATGACATTGGAAGACTAGGTTTATACACTCTTACACATTTGGAAGGTTCTTGTAAAGACTGCATTAAAGACTATGAGAGGTTATCGTGTCTTGGGTCACCAATTGTGAGCCCTGGCATTGTAGAACTTGAAACTGAAAGCAAGCCCTTGCATAACAAGGAAAATCAATGTGTGCAACAAACACTTAATAATGCAAATGAAATAGAGGAATTAGAGACGAGTAGACTTTATGAAGACAGTGGCTATTCTTCATTTTCTCAGCAAAGTGATCTCAATGAACATGAAGAATCATTTTCTCAACGAAGTGATCTCAAAAAACATGAAGAGGGTAGCCTTCCCCTGGAGGAAAATTTCAGTGACAGTCCACAATCCTGCCTGCTACAGATGCAAAGCCCAGACCAATATCCCAACAAAAACTTACTGCCAGCTCTTCATTTTGAAAAAGTAGTTTGTTCAACATTAAAAAAGAATACGAAACGAAATCCAAAAAGAGATCGGGAGATGCTGAAGGAAATTATAGCCAGAGGAAATTTTAGATTACAGAATATAATTGGCAGGAAAATGGGCCTAGAATGTGTAGATATTCTCAGCGAACTGTTTCAAAGGGGACTCAGACATCTCTTAGCAAATATTTTAACTCAGCTCAGTGATATGGACTTAATCAAGTAAGTATTAGTGCTTTGAAAATACATATATATATTAGCATAGTCCACTCAACACTTTTGTTGGGTGGCTCAGCACTAGCAGCTCATGCAAAGACTGATGTACGGTGTTTTGAGTACCCCTTATCCAAAAATGCTTGGGACCAGAAGAGTTTCAGGTATTTTCAAATTTGGGAGTATTTGCATTATTGAACATTCCTAATCCAAAATGCTCCAATGTGCATTTCCTTGGAGCATCATGGCAGCACTTAAAAAGTTTCAGATTTTCGGATTAGGGATGCTCAACCTGTAGTAGTGTAGGTTTACAATGTTTAATTGAGGTGATGACTTTTACTTGATTGCCAGTATTTCACTACCTGTATGCCACTTTGGAAGCATGCATTTAATCTAGTCATTTCAAATTTTATATTCATGCTGTTAGAATACTGTATTTCTTTTAGATTGAAGTTTTTGTTCCTTTTAGTTCTGAAACTTCTAGTATGTAAATTATGTCTTTTGGGCCTAAATATAAAACAGCCTAGTTCTAGTAGAGGTCCAATAGGCATTATGACTTTTGTCACACCTGAAAGTATGAAATAATTTCTGTTCCTTTTAGGCCATTTTTGATGTAGGGCTTTCGGGTTTGACAATGATGAAAATATGAAAGCCCATGAATAGGGATCTGGTTATGACTGTTTCTTGAAACCTTATATATATTGACTACTCTTTCTTTGTCATTCTACCAAGGAAAATCAGGATGAGATAACTTTGAGAATTAATTAAGATAATTATATAGACTATAGGATTAGATTGGATTTAACTGAACTGGATTCATTTTTTGGCTTTTTGAAAAATTATCTGGAGGTACTCTGCAAGTGTGGCTTTATACTGGTCTTTATGAAATATGGCTAAAGCCAGACAGAATAAGTATTGATTTTTACTGTGTACTGCCTTCTTGAGGGATAACAAAC